CTTATTTCAAGTTTGATCACGGGTTGATGTCAGCTGGAGACACACTGAAAACCAGGCGTTCCGGTGTTTTGCAGCGGGACGCACCCACCAAGGTTCAAAATCCAGACTAGGAAAAAACGTCTGCTCAGTACTCCCTCGTTTTCACTGGTTTTCTAACCGACATCAACTTGTGGTTAGACCTGAAACAAATCGAATCCCCTACAGACTAAATCTTGAAAGTTTATCTGATGCTCACTAGTGACTGTATGTTCCTGGGGTTCTAGTCAGAAGTCCTGAATAGTAGAGTCTACCTGGACGAATTGGCAGAAGTTGGAATTCATGCGTCACTGGGTCTGGTCGCAGTGTCTGAATAGTCTATTAGTTTGTCTTGTAACAGGAAGGTCCTGGATTTGAACTCCGATGGGCGAGTAGTGCTGAAGAAACCGAAGCTGGGAGGAAATAGCTATCCACTACTCCCTGGTTTTCACTGGTTCTCTTACTAACATTAATCCGTGATCAAAATTAATCTCATTTTATTGTATCAATAGTCTTCCTCTTGTTGATAGCTTAAATCGCCTAGAATGTTATACGTAATACGTCAATAAATAACCCAGTTTTAAATAAAAGAAACGTTAAGGATGTTACTAATAGCTAAACATTGACGCACAGATTTTCGAGAGATATTTTGTCAGAATTTGATTTTTATCTTCAGATTGAATCACGGATTCATATCAATTAGCAAAAGAGCTGAATGCCAGCGTGTACTGAACACTTGTTTCGTCCTAGTTCGCTACTCTTCACAGTACCTTACAAATCAAGATTCAAACCCATGACTCTCCAGTTACAAGGCGAATTCGTGGACTGTTTAGCCACTGGGACCCTATCGAATGACACATGAGTTCTGCAATTAATAGTGTTCTCTGAGCTGGTTGGTTTAGTTGCGGAGCTTTCGTCGTCCTTCTGGACAACATCCCCCTTCAGCGCAATATTTAGCATAAAGTGAAATGATTCACAAGAGAAGAAGAATTAGATAACAAAATCCCATTTTTAGATGTCTTAATCAGGAGAACCAACACAGGAAGTTTAGAAACACAAGTATATAGAAAATCAACGCACACAGATCAAATACTCAACTATACTAGCAATAATCCAATTACCCAGAAACGAAACCGTGTGCAGACATTGTTTAAATGAGTTCAAACACATTGTAGCATTCCAGAGTTGAAAAGAATGGAAGAAAAATACTTACAAACGATCTTCAAAAAGAATGGTTATCCACAAAATTTCATCAAAAAGTGTTTAAAGTCGAATCAAAACACCAACAAAGAACCATCATCAAAGACCATAAGAAAATTCATCCTACCATACATGAGAAATATCTCTGAAATAACAGCTAGAATACTGAAACCGTTTGATATAGATACAGCACACAAGCCAGTCAAATCGCTTAATTCGATATTATGCAAACCGAAAGATCCAACAGAAAAAGAAGATAAAATTATTACTATTTACAAAATAAATTGTATGAACTGTAACGCGCATTACATAGGCCAAAGTGGGCATCCCCTTTGAATTAGAATCCAAGAACACAAATCAGCCGTGAAAAGACATGATATGTATTCTTTAGTATCAATGCATATAGACAATTACGGACATAAATTTGATTGGGATAATGTCGAAATCTTAGACAGAGGAAACACCAAAAGTGCCAGGAAATTCCTAGAAGCCTGGTACTCAAACGAAAATGCAATTAACAAACACGTTAGTATAGACGAAATATACCAACTAATAAAAAGTAAATCAGGTGACCAGAAAGTTTAAAATCCAAGTCAATAGAAAATGGTCAATACATATGTAAAGATGGTTACCAGGAGACGCAACTATATCACTCATGAGGAAATTTAAATCATTTCACTATATGCTAAATATTGCGTTGAAGATGTTGTCCAGAAGGACGATGAAAGCTCGGCAACTAAACCAACCAGCTCAGAGAACAAATCATCCACCTGAGCTACAGAACTTCTCTGCTACACATGAGTTCTACCAATTCCGGATTTTAGCCAGACCATCATCCAGATGGACCCCATTAGTCACGTACTGTCACTAGATTTACATGGAATTTCGTGCTATATCCAGTCACTAGCGAACATTATGTTAATTTCTAGCAGTTAATTTTTCAGGGACTCAGATGCCAGTGGGTGTGTAGTGTAGACGATTCCAAGGCTGAAACCAAACATCTGTCTAGTACCCTCCCCCCGCTTATTTTCAACACTTCTGTAACTGATAACAATCTGTTATCAAACTTTAAAACAACTAACACATGGAGAACTCAAGTGAACAAAATGACTACACTTTATTTACACGTGATATCATTTTTAAGTCATTCGACATAGCGAAAAAACTAAAGAGCTAAGACAACTGAGGAAGGTAAAACACTATGAATGGTACATATGACATTACGCAACATAAATGAACAAATTACAAGGTTGAAGAATGAATTCATCCTAGTAAATAAGGGAAAATTACTAGGGAACTGGAATTTTTGAAAAAAACATGGTACTTATGATGTAACAAAATTGAAAAACAAAACTCAATACCTATTCATGCTTCTCTTCTTTTCTGCATGGACAGTTACAACTAAACTTTCGTATAGCGTAGAGTCTCTCCCACAAGACTCAGATTATTCCGATTACTGCTTTTTCTCTACAAAAAACCTTATTGCGTCATCACTATTACATTCTAGTCTCACTCCTACCCCTTACCCCCCCCCTAATATCGCAATTTCTACCCACTACATTAAATTCGTTCTTGAGCCTTCTAATTTATTCATCTGTTGACGTAATACCTAATTCACTAACTCAACTGTCGTTTTTTCTCCACGACTAGTGAGCGGACTTGCGACTATATCACGTGTGAATTACTAATTGCCTCAGTTCTTCCAGTTACACTCGGAATTTGGTCACTAAGCTTAGAGACTGGCCAGCACAGTGTGCTTTGAACCTGTGTTAGATGGTTGAGAGTAATCATCAGGAATCCCTGAACAGAATTCATGCTTGTTGGCATTCGTCAGAAAGACGTACCCGCTGAAGGGTCTGAAGCCTGGATGAAAACGCTATCGAGTACTTCTCGATTTTCCAGTGATTCTCTATATGATGTCAGCTTCTAACCTAGAGGGAAGAGACATCTCTGAGATTTAAACTTGAGTCATAGGTTACCATCACTGGATTCTTCGGGCTTCCAAAGCTAACTTCATTAAATATGCCGATGATCTCGCCATTTCTGTCACAGTAGTTTCTGCATCGGATTATTCTGATATGAATAGAATCTTATCTTAAGTTAATAAACGGTCTCTTCTAAATAGTCTTTAACTGAATCCATCTAAATGTCATATTGTTGATTTTAGTTTCAGATGCGAACAAGACTTGTGTGGGTGGACTGATTCAATCGCATGATTCCTGTTATATTGACGGCACTATGATAGATAGGGAGCAAATCGAATATCTGTCATCCTGGCAGCAGTTTCTCTACGAATCTCCTCTGTAGATCGTCTCATGTCCGGTTGATTTCAAAGAGAAACCTCCGTTTGACTAATTACATAAAGAAGTTGACACTTTCTGCTGGCATAACTCAACGGCTTCTCTTACAATTTATTAATTCCGCCCGTTCTCCTTTATTGTTCACCATTATTCTTCCCTGGACTGCTGAAAAATGACTACATCATATTACGTGGAGCAGTGAAGATTGTAAATAGGGTTAGTGGTGCGCCTTTGACACAGCTAGCCGACATTATTCTCAAAAGACACTTCAATTCTTGCAAGCAGCTATTGGGCTAAACTTATCTTGTCTGATACCGAACATTCTCTTTGTTCTCAACTTTCTCCTTGTACCTTTTCGGGGAGGTGAAACCAGAAGAAGCTTCATAAGAATTTACGCTCGTACAGCTCTACTAAATATAAAAATTCTACCATACCACCATATTCAGTATGGGTTTTGTTTGAAGGAAGAGGCAAATGTCAGAAAAGAACCAGCTTATAGACTAACTGAACTACAAAGCATAAGCAAAGATTATTAAGACATGTATCATCTATGCTATTATCCACTCATACTTCATTATGTTTCCACCAACATTATGTTTATAGTGGTTTAGGTCATTTTTATCTCGTTCTCAAGCACTGCTGGTCGATATGAGTGGTATTATTATTATTTTGGTGTATTCCGAGTGTAACATACACCTTCGATTGCACATCCTCACTTTGTCCTGTTCTCTGCAGCCTAGTTTAGCTGGCTGGCCTGACGATTTCCCGTAGGCTCTCATCCGATGCTCACACCATCTTCTCCGTGTCATCCTCAGACTTATGTCCAACTTGTGGCTTTCCATCAAGGTTCCACTCGAAGACCATGCATGCAGTGTCCATCAGCGGTCTCCTCAGTGTACTTTTCAGTAGAAAGCAAAGCGGATAGCTGCTGATTAACGTTCACAGACTTTTGGAAATACTTTTGATGACGTACATGCCAAGTTTCTGATTCATATAGAAGAGCTAACCTAATATTGGTGCTGAAAATCCGAGTTCTGACCCCTATGCTAAGCGCAGGAAATTTCACCTTTCCAATTTTTGTCTTGTCGTCGTCATCCGTGCTGTCGTCTGCAGCTGAGACGATGCTTCCTAGATGAATGAAGGAAGTAACCTCATTCAAATTTCTCCAGTTGATGGTGTTTAGTGCTTATTGTATTCGGTTGGTTATCTTCATCTCCTCTGTTTTTTTCTATGTTCAATTGAAATCCTGCCTTTACTGGTCACCTGTCTCTTCTACTAACTTATTGGTTTACGCCTGTAAGTCTTCGACACTGTGTGACATTAGACATAAGAGTGGTACACAACTACTTATTTCAGCCAGTCAGTAGTATATGGCATCATGTCGCTTATCTTGGAATCGAGTTCAAATGTACAAACCGTTTTGTGATCAACTACACCCATTACCTCATAGAATACCGATTAGAGACAAAAATCACAGTCACATACCTGATTAAAGAATTCCGCCAATAGTCGATTTATCCATGGACCAGCAACACTAAGAGGACGTGCTTCATTTGAAATGTCAGATATTTTCAAGATTATCATCATAACAAGATCTTTTTGTGTTTTATTTGTAACCCAAGCAGGTTTTTTACTGCTGGCATCAATTTCCCAGGCAGCTTGTAGATCACTTACAACAAGACGATTGAATTCATCGAGTATTTCATTGTGACGTGACATGTCTGTTGCTAAAATACATCTGAAAAAAGAGACAAAAACATCACTGAATAGCCTTTGATTATGTAAGTCAATAATGACATAATGTAAATAGGAGAAAAAGGGGAATTATGCTGATAAACATCTAAGAATATTAACAATATCTGGAGACTATTGCTATGAAATAATGAAGAAGTTATATAGCTTAGGTGGATGATCTGAAAAAGTTGAGATCTCTGAGGAGCTGGTTGATTTAGTTACGAAGCTTTCGTCGTCCTTCTGGACAACAGCCCTTTCCAGCGCAAGTTTTAGCATAAGCTGAACTGATTTGAATTCTCCATGAATAACAGAATTATGTCTCCTGTCAACAATCTTCGTAACTGGTAGTCGATTTACATCCGTAGTGATGATTTTTTGTTGGTTTGAAATTTGAACTTTCTTGTCCCGTGATTTAATTTTTATCACTTGGTAAATTTGGTCGATAATAATGTGTTTGTTAATCGCTGGCTGATTCACTTGAGTACCAGGCTCCTAGAAATTCTCTGGATCTTTTGGTGTTTCCTGTATTTGAAATTTCAACATTATCCCAGTCATCAAATTGGTGTCCATAATTATCTACGTGCTTTGATATAAAAGAATATATGTCTTGCCTTTTTCCAGCCAGTTTGTGTTCTTGTATTCTGATTCGAAGGGGTCGCCCACTCTGATCGATGTATTGTCTGTTACAGTTCATACAATTTGTTTTGTAACTGGCAATAATTTTATCTTCTTTTTCTGTTGAATGGGTCTTTTGGTTTGCACAGTATCGAATGAAGTGATTGTGCTGGCTGGCTGGCTGGCTTGTGTGCTATATCTATTTCAAATGGTTTTAATATTCTAGCTGTTATTTCAGAGATATTTTTTACATACGGTAGAATGAATTTTCTTGTAGTCTTTGATGATAGTTTCTTGTTGGTGTTGTGACTCGATTTCAAATACTTTTTGATGTAATTGTGAGGATATGCATTCTTCTGAAATAATTTAACGTTTAATGGACGTATAACCTTTCAAACAACATTTATTGTTCATATAGTCAGAGTATCACTCGAATTCGCATAGAAAAACTATTATAATTGGTGGATAATTCTCATGCAGATATTCATGAAAATGAAAAACACGGTGTTCAGTAAAGAATCGGAAAATGAACAAGGAGAATTAGCTATGATGTTAAATTGTAAAATAAAACGAATAGAAGAAGGTAAACTGCACACTAGTGTTGATAAAGAGTCAACGCATTCTGCCAAAAGATATTTAGACTTTAATTCATCTCATCCGTTGTCTATAAAGGCTGGCTTAGTTAAGTGTCCAACAAACCGAGCAGCTGCACTAAGTAGTACAAGAAAAGACCTAAATGATGAAATGAAACAGACACAGGAAGAAGCGTTGGTGTCAAATGACTAACTATCCTATAAAACTCATTAGGAATATCAAAAAAGGTCCAAAGCAAAATAAAAATAATGGCGAAACTAATAATGACAAAGTAGATAAGAGAAAATATAGGGAATCTACAGTTCTACCATATAAGGAGGGGACGTCTGAGGCCCTACGTAGCGTTCTCAAAAAAGCAGGATTTAGGGTGAAATTCAAACCTACAAACTCACTCAGGCAGGGACAAGATCTGTAGACTAAAAGAACCAGTGTACCAATGAAATAAAATAATATAATTCACAAAATACCTTGCAGTGACTGTGAGTTAGGTCAACTACATAGGTCAAACTAGTAAGTTGGGGGTAATCAGATTGTCGGAACATAAGAATTTAGCTTAGGTGAGAATGGTTGACACCAAGAAGATGAGTAACTTGGAAAAAAGCTCAGCGATTGCGCTGCATGCATTAACACAGCCACGCAATCACTCAGGGTGCGAGAGGGTTAAAATTCCAAGAAGTAATATAGGCAGGTGGAAAGAGAGAGAGAGATTGGTTACTGAATCCCGGTTCATTGAGTCTACACCCAACACGACACATGCAACAGAAATGACTCAATGCAAATACCAGAGATATGTTTGGAAAATATTATTACCACCAGTCAGTCAAATCACAGGAGGATGATAAATAATCTTAAAATTCTATTTCACTTCACGTACATCATAACAGTCTAACAAGTAACTTATTTTGACTATAAAACCACTCGTCTTATTTCCCATTTGATTGTATTTGATCAATAACACTCATATTATTATTTCTGAATGTACATTATCCCATATTGATTTCTATTCAAATGTCTATTCATCAATTCCACACATGTATATAAATCAAGCGAAGTGAGTGACTTGATATGAATATGAGCGGCAATAGTTTGTGCTCGAAACGTGGTCATCAGTTAATACTACACTACAACACACTTTGTGATTTATCACAATGAAATCTTATGTATAATGGAGTTATACTGTACCACAGTGCCTGAGTTTTATACTTGTATCAGTAGTTGAGCAGATATGTTATTCTCGACAAACTCAATCATTCATTTTCCTCTTCAGCTATACAATCTCATTTATGTAGAGTTCTTTTCATGGAACACAGTAGTAACAAACTTGATGCGTTGTCACAACCATACTTGTTAGTATTAGTCAATGCATAGGAGAACTTCAATTAGCTTGAATAATTTAATAAATGAGTTGTAATTAGGATAAACATAGAAAAGTAGGCACTACATGGAATTATGTAAGAGTAGGTCTAAAGAAATACAGGAGTAATTAGAAAAACAAACGAACAAAAATCAAGTGCGTGGAAATTACTAAATTTGCTGCCATAATATTAGAAGTGGTCAAATAATTTTGGATGCATAGCTCCGATTTCTTTTACGGAATGGCTAGAGTTTCATCAATCCAAAGGAGATGGAAGCTTCTTACCTTTGGCAGATTGCCCCTCACTTTGTAGGCTACTTTGAAGGAGGCGTTTGTTGAGATGGAATGTCCAGTGTTGACAAAGCTCTCGATTACCGCACACGTTATAGAGCCACCACTAAGTTTCTGCAGCCATGCGCAACATTGTTGTTCCTGAAACCTTTAAGACAGGATACGCATCGAATGGCCAACATACCTGGCTCCACAAAAACAGGTTAAATGATATATATTTTTTATTTTTTTTATATTTTTTATTACAGCTTGATGCCACACCGTATTTTCAGTACAAGTATGGAATTTTCAGCACCGACATCGGTAGCCCAAATTTTGCAGGCCGATCATAGATATCGGGTGTGCGTCGGCAGGGGATCGAACTCCTGACCATGTGGATGGTCGGCGAGAGTCATAACCACTGTGCCACCGACGCACAAAGTGCTTAGCTCGAGGCCTCGCCGAGACACATATAGAAGTGATCAGGTGAGAGATTTTAGCCTTAAGGCATCTGATCACCATGGATGACCGGAGAACACTACTCTTAGCGTTTCTGCGAAGAATGTTCTCCTCAAAAATGATGAAATTTTTCTCTTAAAGATATCACAATTCAAGTCTCTCTTGAAATCCAGGTTCATGTAAAGTTTATTTTTGGAACCAGTAAAGTTTCATTTCTCTGAACATTTGGTCAGTTTGTCATGTACGCACTTCAGATGAGTCGGATCCGAATGGCAAGGAATTTAATTAAATTTCAGTTTCGTTCAACAGGTACCCAATTGTAGGAAGTTGTTAACTGACGGTTCCAAGTGGATTCCCCTTGGACTGACCTTCTTAAGAAGGGATATGAGTTTCTTCAGGGTTGCAGACACGCTCTGATGACGAGTGAACACTAGCACGAAACCTAGGTCCAAGGCTTCCTGCCGACTGTCTCCAACTATGTAAAACCAACAGTTCACAGTGCACCATGACGGCTAGCCACCTAGCACTGTGGCCACATTGCAAACTTGACTGACAGAATTCAGTCTGCACCAAACAAAAGACTAAACATACGACATTGGTAACTGACTAGTGCCTAGTCATTAGACCAGAATTTACAAAATCTCAGCTTAAAAACAGTAACTTGATTAATCATCGTTCCTTAATATGGGGTAATTTTTACGTCGTTAAGTTGGTCAATTGGTAAAGATAACAAAACCAGGTGTAGATTGTTGGATTTCGTATGAGTATAAAATCATAAAAGCACCACGAGTTTATGTAATGAAATCGCTTATCACATTTGTTTTGATTTTGTCATTTCAAGGGAGAAGGGCAGTCCATCATTCCTATTCAGACAATTTGGATTCCATTTGATATGAAATGCTTCTGATGATATTAGACTTTCTTTGTGATTTCTAAAATATTTCTGAATGATTTTAATAATGTCAAAATCAGTTTTGTGGCCAGATTCTAAAGTATGTGTGCGTGGACATATGGCTGATGATTTTTCAAGCTTTTCTAGTCTAGAGTATTACCCATTTCTCATAATTTCATATGCCTATTAATCCAACAATCTACACATGGTTTTGTTATCTTTAACAATTAGCCAACTTGACAACATTAAAGTTACTTCATGCTGAAGAACGATGACTCATTAAGTTACTGTATATAAACTGAGAGTTTATAAATTCTGGTCTGATGATGTTTTGATAAAGTTACTAGTGGTTTTAAGTAGTGAAACGTCATCAAAAACAACAGTATCGTTTTGTTTTTCATCAATTGGGAAGTATAAAAAACCTTTATAATAATGAATATCATATACCGAATGCCTAAATTTTTTTCAAACTGTTGAAAATGAACCTGTTTTGGGCATATATGGCTAATCGATTACCACTTAGAGTTAGCCTGTTATATGTTTGTGGCCTAAATTCAGAAGCCTCTCAGATGTCTTCTTATTTAGGCTAGTCTGTGTTTTGGGGAAAACGATAACGAGTTATTGACGAAAACATGTTATTCTTAATGATGCGTACCTATCAAAGAACGGTTCTGCTCTCTCTCTCTCTTTAAGCAACTTAATATACATGTGATTGATTGTTTCCCGTTTCGGGTAAGTGACTTTCCACTGATGGGTATTTTTCCAGTAAACACTTTCCGTCATATTCTGACGAAATAGTTGTTACGGTTGAATTATTGCGCACAACAAAACAGTAAGCATAGTCCACAATAATGTTTTCTCTTGAGACGATGTCTAATTATTTTTTGCATATCTACATAAACTATTATTATTATTGTTGGTTACAGGATTTCATCATGAGCTGACATTGGTTAAAGAACCATTGGAAAACCATCACGGAGTACAGCTGTTTCGTCAGCCTAGTTTGGGACTCTTCATCAGTACGTACCCACCGCCATGGTTCGAACTCAGGACCTTTCACCTACAAGGTGAGCTCGTAGACCACTGGGATCCGATCCAAAGGCCAGCCCATGAATTCTAACTTCTGCCAATTCACGACAGAGCGCGACCGCTAGCCAATGTCTTCGGCGATTATTTGTTCTCACACCTGACCTGCTGCACCCTACTGGTCACGACTTCCCTCTAGAACTCCAGATAACTACCTAACTGAATAGAGCCAGTCGCCAGTGAGCATCTCATCGATATTCGAGTACTGGTTGTTATTATTATTATTATTATTATTATTATTAGCATCAGAACAAAATGATTCTGAACGAACAACTGTTCTCGATAACTTCTTTCTCGGACTTTACAGTTATAAATCCATCAATATTAGCAGACAAATAGTCATTAAAGGCACGTGAAAATTATGTGAGGTACATGTATAATATGGAGTGACATTTCGTTACTTAATATTGTCAAATGAACTTTGTATAAAACGTTCAGTCATCCAGAACATAAGATAAAGTGTGAATAGACAAAAGGATGACATACAAATGTATTTATATTCAAGAGAATATGGGTTTCATTGCGGGTAGGGATGGGGATGCGAATGAATTATATTCAATGGTGTGCAAGGGAAATGATTACCAAAAAATACATACAAACAAATACTAAATACAATGGGGAACACTGAATGTATTTAATTCAATTTTAGATCTTCCCATCGATTGATTGGAGTGAGGTGCTCAGTCTCAGGTTGACTTAAAAATCGTCCTAACACTGAATGTAATATATCAAGTGTAGTAATAAAATAAAATGAAGAGGTTAAATTGTGAACTGTAACAAAGTACTAGAGACATGATAAGCTTAGCGTAAATTACAAAGGTTGACACATAATAAGGATAATATTGGAGTGAAGTTAACTAGGTGAAAAGAAATTAGAAAGGCATAATATCACATGAAAATGTGAGGTAATTACGTCCCTGATGACTTTATAGTAGACCAGGGTAGACAAGAACGATGAATGTACTTTTTCTGCATTAATAGGTCAGCTTCAGCTACAGCTTTTGTTTTATTCCTTTACATTCCCAGTGGAATGGTGATTATTTTTACAGGATGGGGTTGCTAGCCTCATGCCCGACTGGGGATCGAACCCCAGACCACCTGCGTGGTTGACGAGCACTGTACCACTGTACCACCGACGCACAAAGCGGACTGCATTGGCTCTAGCTAAGAGATGTAGTCGAGTGTTCTGAAGCAGACTGTTTAGTACTCGATACACACCCTTAAATAACTCATATATTTTAATGAGTTGTTCGTTATCCACTTTTTCTTTATCCTTCACGTTCCCAGTGGAACACAGGGCCTCAAGCTAGTGACTTGAAGTTTCTGTAGCAGTGTTTAATTTTTTTTACAGGATGGGGGGTTGCTAGCCTTTCCTCTTTACCAGCATTATTTCTGGCTTAGCGAGGTAAATGAGTGCGTCGGCAGGGGATCGAACCCAGGACCACGTGAACGGTCGGCGAGCGTTCTTACCACTATGCCACCGACGCACATCGTTATCCACTAGATGAGATAACATGGCACCTTTTATTGATTTGTGATGCCTTTTCAAAACCAGATAGGAAGATGTCCATGAGTTCGACCTAAATAACTAGCTCCGCATGAGCAGTCGAATTTGTATACACACACAGTGGTGTGGCCGTCTTTGATGATTTATCTTTAATGCTACCCTGATATTCTTTTTCACAAGTGAAGTGAGCACTGAGAAATGAGAAACTATTTGACTTGGTTACTCTTATCAGATCGGGTCCTAGTGCGTGAACAGTCTATTACCCCGTCTTGGAACCGGAAAGTCCTGGGTTCGAACCCCGGTCACGGCGTACTACTGAAGAGTCCCAAACCAGGAAAAGACAGTAGTCAACTACTCCCTGGTGTTCCAATTGTTCTGGGACTGATGTCGTCTCGTGGTCAAACGTGTAACTTATCGAATCCCTGCAAATCAATCCTTGATAACACCACAAGTATGAAAAAGCTAACAGACTAGTGTGAGAAATAGGCACTTCCTCAATCCAAAAATGTGCTAACACGTGATGAGATACCCTCAGTTGTAATATGTCACAGAATAGAAGTTAAAGATAAAATTTATTTGAAAATAACGAGAATTAGCAATGATGATGAATATTATGGATAACAACCAAAACAGTCAACCATACCTTATCATTCCTTTACGAATCCGTTGACGGACATTAAGTGGAAGATGAGCAAAAGGATCAACTTCTGCATGACTTAACAAATCGAATGCCACAGCTGAATGATGATTTTCTAATGGACTTTGATCGTTATATCGCATAGCTAATACAGTTCCAGCATTGATCTGAATGGTGAAAACAAATAAATAAAACAAAAGCATACGCCAATAAAGATAGAAACTGCAAAATCATCCGAATACAAGACGAAAATAACATTTTACAAAGGAAGTGAGAATATAACTGATAATACAAATAAATCCATGAGTACACAAGTTATACATTTTTATTTAATCTTGAAACGACTCAGTTTATTATTTTTCTCTCAAATTAGAAAAGGGTTACTCGAAACTCAAGCGACCTAAGTAAACGGCCGTCATAATGACCTTGGTCAACCAGTTAGATGAGCCCATAGTGAATTCACGGAAACATGGATACCAGTATTGCAGTACTGTCGGGATAATGAACATCTGCTAAGCAATAAAACAAGTGGATATGCCGGCATAATGTCTTTACAGAGATATGCAGCCGTTGTTTATGAATATATACATACGTATGTCCAGATTGTTGTTGCAGAAAATCTGTCCAAATAAGTATATTGTTTCTCTTTTAATTGCATGTGTGCCGCAGAGCAGGGAACAAGTCGCGAAACAGCATGATAGATATGCATTTATCTGGATGCATTTACTGTGCAGAAATTGATTCACACTATTACTGAAGACTTCAGTATGGAATTGAGAGACATTCTTGGAACACATAAGAGAACGTTTTTCTATATAACTGCATTCACCAAAGACCCATTCCAAAATCTTTAGATTACGAGGTGGGCCTAATGTCACTCAGTTGTTACTGTCAGAAAATCAACAGCGAGTACTGTTCCTTGGACCTGACTCAATGAACCCAACCCAAGTTCTTCATTGACTGGTTATCTCATTTATTTTAGACGAGCTCCAGTTTGACAGTAATAGCGAGTATGTGAAACATAAAACAAATTTTATTTCATTCAACTGCCGAAATTAGAAATTTATGAGTCTCATAGTTTGCTTCCTTCTTATCGGGACATTTGGAAAGATTACAATGAATAAGACCTGTTTAGGCTGAATTAATCAAAATGAAGTAATCGATCGTATACCTAACACATTTTTTATTCATGTAACGTAATTGTATTCAATGGAGAACGGTTTTTCTAGTCATGAGTATCGTGGGGAATTCTGTATCCCCTACTTTTATTGTCTCCATTCACCCAGTCAGTTGTCGTTATTAGTTAGAGGATTTCATCATGAGCTGACAGCGGTTAGAGAACCATTGGAAAACCAACCAGAGAGTACTGGACAGCCTAGTTTGGGGCTCTTCAGCATTACGCACCCACCGGGGTTTTAACCCATGAAATTCTGGTTACAAAGCGAGCTCGTAGACCATTAAGCCACTGGGATCCAATCCAATGACCAGCTCATAAGTTCCAACTTCTCCCAGTTCACGATATAGTGTGGCCACTAGCCAATGTCATTGGAGGCGAGTATTTGTCCTCACGCCCAACCTGCTGTACTCTACTGGTCACGACTTCCCACTAGAACCCTATTACTGTCATTGTCGTTATTATTAACAACAATAAAGTGTGTTCCTCTTATTGACGAAGAGATAATACTGAAAGTTGACGAAAATTTAGAGTACAGTGAATTTCTAAATGATTATTTTCTAATCAACTGGGGTTGTGTATTCAGCAGACACGGTTACATATTTGGCTTTTCAAGAGTCAGTTTACAGGGAATTGATTTATTTCTAATCTGACCGCAGATTAATTTCAGTTAGAAAACCATTGAAAACCTACGGGTACTGGCCAGCTGTTTCGTCCCAGCTTAAGAATCTTCCGAAGTATGCATCCATGACCCCACTGCAGGAATTGAACTCAGAACCTTCAGGTTACTCAGTAAACCCGTTGAAAATTAAACTACTAGGACGGAATCCAGTGAACAATGAACTCCATATTCTGTCAATTCGCAATTTTTAACGCAACCACCAGCCAATGTCATCGATGAGTATTTGTGCTCACACTCGACCTGATGGACGCCGCTGGTCGCAACTTCTCATTAGAACCCCAAGCAGCTTTATTCTTTAGCCAATCGCTAATGGGCATGAAATTAGCTTTGAAGAGTTAGTGGCTGAATGGTATACTAGATTGCCTCGTAACTCAAAGGTCCTGGGTTCGATCCCCAGTGAGATCCGAAACTGGGACAAAATACCTCTCAAGTGCTCTAATGGTTCTCTAACTGACATTGATCTATGACAAATCAAATCTCTGCACACTAACACAAAGATGTCCACTGGACACCAGTGAAATAATTAAGAGCTTAAAATTCTGTCTAGAAAGTAATTATTTTACATTTAAAGGGGGTTTATATAGATAGACTAATGGTGTTGCTATGAGTTCACCAGTCTCCCCATTAGTCGCTGACCTTTTCATGAATAGATTTGAAGACGACATCTTTTCAAACATGCTCACTCCTAAAATATGGTTAAGATATGTAGATGATACTTTCGCAGTGGTAAAACGAGATCTACACAATTAATTCCTAAGGAAAATAAACTGTGTATCTCCCGGAATCCAGATTACTTCGGAAGCAGAATAAGACGTCGTTGAACTACCATTTCTAGACCGCCTGCCTAGTTAAGAGGAGAGAAAACGGACATTTTAGTATGTCTATATTCAGGAAGAAAACCCACTCCAACAAATATTTAGACTTCAGATCATCAAACCTCATCAGCGCAAGGGTATCAATTGCTGCAAGTCTTCTTAAAGAAGCACACTCTTGGATGTTAACGGATAAGAAAGAAAAAGAAGAAATTTCAAACATTACTGAAACTCTCAAGCAAAACAACTGCCCAAGGGACTTCATCAACAAAATCAACACAGACATTAAGTATGGCCCAAAGCGCATTCCGAAAACATGGACATCAACAGTCGTCATTCCATATAGAGCAGAGACGTCAGATGATATCAGAAGAGTACTCAATCAGCTCGACATTAGATTTTTCTTCTAAACATCAGACACACTACAAAACAACCTTGTCCATATAAAAGACCAGATCCCTAAAGATTCTCTATCTAATTGTGTCTATAAAATAAAATGCTTGGGATGCGATGCGATATACATCGGACAAACATCTTGAGAAATCAAAATCAGAAGAAATGAACACCGTAGAGCATCTGTTTGACCACCTAGAAATCCAATTGAACTGGAAAAACTTGAAAAATTATCAGCCCAGACGCTATAGAATCAGGCCACATAATTGATTTTGACAATATTGAAATCATCATCCAGAAGAACTTTAGAAATCACAAAGGACGTCTAATATCATCAGGAGCACTTCATATCGAATGCATTCCAAATTGTCTGAATAGGAATGATGGACTAAAACAGAATCTGACCTGGTTACAACACCCCCTTTCGCGTCATGAAGTGACAAAATCAACACGAATTTGATAAGCAAGTTCACTATGTAAAAACCCACACTGCTTATATAATTTTACGCACTGATCAAATCCAAAAGTCTACACTTGATTTTGATTTCGTTATCTTTACCAATTGACCAACTTGACAACGAAAAATGACCCCAGACTGACGAACGATGATCAAGTTAGTAAACTTTGTTTTGATATCATAACAAATATACTGTTACCTTTGTTATTTGGTTTAGTGATCTTCATTGTTATTTTGACTTTCAATATGTCCTTTTAACTTGACCTAAGTGGTTTATTTTCTCACCTCTTAACTCTTTGTTATATATATGCTGAGATTTTGTAAATAATAATAATAATACTTTGATAAAGTTATTAGAGGCATTAAATAGGGAAACGTCAGTAAAAGCGACAATATCGTTTTGTTTTTCATTCATTGGGAAATACAATAACACCTTTATTATAATGAATATCATATACTCAATGCCCGAATTTTTTCAAACTGTTAAAGGTGAACTTGGTTTGGACATATATAACTTACACTTGAAAATTACATGGAGGATTTCATGGTGAGCTGACATCAGTTAGAGAACCACTGGAAAACCTAGGAGTACTGGACAGCTGTTTGGCTATAGTTTGGGACTCTTCACTAAAATGAACCTGACGCCTGCTAGTTATTGGCTACAGGATGAAGTTGCTTGAATATCTAGTCCTAGTGAGAAGTCGTTACCAGTGGGATTCATCAGGTTAGGGGCAAGGACAAATACACCCTGAGGTTATTGGCTGGCGTTTACGCTAATATAGCGAATGGATATATGAGTAATAATTACATTTGTTACATTTCAGTTTAATGTGATTTTAAGTTTTGCGCCTTTTGCATAAATCACTATTTCATTCCAATGCCATATTCATTGCAATACTTCTAATTCCATAATGGATAAGATTTTATTTTGATAAATCACACAGTGTAGTACAGTTATATTAACTGATGACGTTTCGAGCACAAACTATTGCTCATAATCATATCAAGTTGATATGATTATGAGCAATAGTTTGTGCTCGAAACGTCATCAGTTAATATAACTGTACTACACTGTGTGATTTATCAAAATAAAATCTTATCCATTATGGAATTATACTCTAACACAGTGCCCAAGTTTTATACTTATATCAATAATACTTCTAAATCTGTCTGTCTACTCTGCCCCCCGTCCCCCGCCGTCACCCAAGGAAAGCAAATTTACCTCAGATTATGTAACAAACAAACGAAATCTGTCTCTCTTGTTCTCTTTTATTGAAATGTATTTCGTTTTCATCACGCTAGTTGTCATTCTTAAAAGTAACCTTTAAATTTAATTATCATTATTATTATTACTATTATGTCATAATTTAATTTACTCTGCATACGAGTAAAATGCATCTAATATTCCGGATGTGAAAGTGAATGAGAAGAAAAACGAACTACTAGTGGAATAAGACTGGAAAATTATTATTATTACTATTATTATTAATATGAGGTTCTGTAGATGTTCACATTTCTGGTGTTTCACATTACGTTACTGGACTGACATGATACTTACTACTGATAGCGAGTAGCTGACCTGGATTATTTGTTCAACATTAATTAGTATGAAGAACCTTGTGAAGTGAGAATTCTATATATATATATATATATATATGAACGGTAGTCTAGAACAATTTCCTATCAGGAACAATGGCAGAATACTCTACATCATACAATTTTATATCACCTAAGCAGATTTAACAAAATTATAACTAGAGATATTTATTTGTATAGTCGTTTATAGAAGAAGACGGAGATTATCTGAAAAATATTGGGATGTATGTGTGCATTTTGAACAACAATCTGATCACATATATCTCTACTTGTCAAGTCAATTTATATGAAACAAATATAGGGTGCTTAAAACAAACAAAGTGATACGAGATTTAAGAATAAGGATTGGCACTTTCTGTCTCTCTAACTTCCAATTGTTCTTTGTTGCCACTTCCCACATATCCGGTATAAGCGTTCCGTCAACACAGATGTGAAGTCAGTCAGTCACTTGTTTTATACAGGTCAGATATTTGCGCTGTGCTTCATGGAAGGGATTTCCAACAGACCACTTCAGGCTTTTCTCAACAGCTACCACCTTCTCTGGCTGACTGGCTGGCTGGCAGCAAACCAACAAGCAACAGCCAACTGCTCAACAAGAATGTAAGAGTTTGCCTTGCAACCGGAAGGTCCTAGGTTCGAACCCTGCCTGCCGATGATTCCCAAAGTGGGATGAAACATCTGTCCAGTACTCCCTGTGGCTGATTTTTAATGGTTCTCTAACTGATATCAATCCGCGATTAAACTCGTAAAATAAAATCTAATCCTTACAAACCAACTCTTGAAAATTAAACTGATGCTCGCTAGTGACTTGCTACAGAACGGCGTTTCCTCCAGTTCTGGTGAGGAGTCGTGACCGGTGAGGTCCAAAGAGTTAAGTATGAGGATGGATTTTCCACCAGTGACATTGACTGGTGGTCGCGCTAAACTCATCACGAATTGGTAGAAGTTAGAATTCATGCTCCGGCCATTAAATCGGGTCCCAGTGGCCGTATGGTATACGAACTTGCCTCGTAACCCGAAGGTCCTGGGTTCAAACCCTGGCAGTGGGTGTGTACTGCCGATGAGTCCCCAACTAGGTTGAAGCAGCTGCCCAGTATTCCCTGGCTTTCAATGGTTCTCTAACTGATATTGATCCATGGTCAAACTCGTAAAGAAAATGTAGGAGAAAATGGGAATGAATTGATCGGGCATACGCTTGAGGAGGCAGTTGAATGGCATCGCTCGAGTATAATCTCAATGGGAATTGATGAGTGGGTCGTCAGTGAGAGAGTAACATGGAGGAGATCGTGTGGCGAGTTGGAGGAGACGAGAGGTTATGCGGAATCGTGAAGCTAATCAGCTGAAGAGGACGGCAGAGAATAGGACAAAGTGGAGTTGTGTTGTTGAAGGCCTATGTTCCACTCGGAACCCAAAGGAATAATACTTATATAATAATAAGGCTAAGAAACATATGTCTTGGCGACTAAATACAAATGAAATAGGCACACGGTGTCATATACATATACATATATACTCACGGATACTGAAAATAAGTAATAAAAATACATATGGATCACAAACAACAACAACAAAAACAACAGTAGCGACAAAAAGTACACTGACAAACAGATGATAATAATGGTCACTGATAAAAATAATGATAGTTATAATATCTGATCCCCGCTCCCTCCCCCCCCCCACTCTATACACCTTATTTTCCAAAAGAGATCCCTATTCTCTTCCCTCTAGCCTCCAGCCTACCAGCCTCCGTCAATTGGAACTTACCTGATAAGCATTATTGAATCCTGGATGATCTAAATCATGACAGATGGCCGACATAATCAAAGTGAGTTGATCATCGATATCGAGTAGTTTGGTAAGTTTTCCACCCCAGAGTAGAACGTAACACTATAATGTGAAAAAAAAGCAATAAGCAAGCAAACACATATAATAATGTATATGAGTATATGAATGTAGACACAAATACGAAGAAAGAAAAACACGTTGTAGACAGAGAGATATAAGGCGAAAGCAATACGCGTAACTGGAAGTTGGTATTTTTCTTCAAAGAATAGATAAACTGAGGAAGAAGATGAAGCTATCTTATTTGTTATCAGACAAGAAAAAAACAGCAGGGATGAGTAGTATTCACAAGTAATAATCTGCAAGATAAGTGAATAAAAAGCAGTCAAGTTTTTGTGATTTTCATTTTTTATTAATTATAGTGAACATAAATTGGTGGATGGTGACTAGCAGTGGAATCAAGGATGCACATTTCGTCCTATCTGGGACTCGTCATCTGGATGTACCTGCATTCCGCAGTGAGTGATGATGTCCCCAGCGACGCTCGAACCCAGTGCCCATAGTTTCAAACTCCAAAGCGTTATCCACTAGACCACTTGGGCCATGAGAGGTACATCTAGATGACGAGTCCAGAATAGGACGAAATGCACATCCTGGATTCCACTGCTGGTCACCATCCATCAATTAAATTTTAATTACATCCCCAGACATCGTCGAATCATCTGCACAAGAAGCCGACATGTCAACCTGAGACCGAGCACTTCGGTCCAATCAACTGACGAGAAAATCTAAAATTCAATTAAATTATAGTGAACGTCAAGATATTCTTTGGCTTGAATATTCTCAAGAAATACATCAGTCCACATCCAATGATATCATTCTATCAGAGTGTGTTTTACAATGTGTGTAACACTATTGCTGAAAGCAGGTTCCACCTCATGAAATTTGAGGAAATCAATCCGACAGTATGCTGATCTTCTGTCTTTACAAAAGCGCTTTGATTTCAGAAACTCTTCTTATTATAAACTTGAAGAAAGCAAGAACAACAAATGTACTAGGATGACATGAGCTCGCCGTTTTTTTTAATTATTTCGAGGATTCTTCTCAACCGACTACAGCCTGAACAATCTGAACATGTATCGAATAGCTTGCATCTCAAGGGGACTAACGATTACAGTAGTGCCATTGACACGCATCTCCTTGATACGCGTCATGAGGTGGAAATGACAAATTCCTTTAAAATTATCAATAGACAAATAAAGCTCAAGTTCTCCTCACGTTTGTCGAAGCAATCTCTATCAAACGCCTGAAGCCAGATTTATGTGTTCAGAAATAATAAATGAAATAGATGAGACCTTAATTGATATCCGCTGTACAGAATATATACCATCATTTGTAAAGATTTAGAAAAGCATTACAAGTTGAAAGGCTATTCAGAAATATAGAAATAAATGTATCGCACACTAGCTCACTCACAACCTTATGTGTTCGAATAACTTCTTATCAGGATACTTTAGGCAGTCCAGCCATCGCACCCCAATTCTCTGTTTCTCTTATTGCCTACACTACACATTATTGGTGTCACTTAGGGTTTGACAGTGTCAGTGGCTCAGTGGTAGAATGCTCCTCAACCACTCATTCAGGTACTCTGGGGTTTGATTCTCGGCTAGTGGACTCCTTTACCTCTCTCAGACAGTTGTATGGCCAAAAACGAGGGAAGTCTTGGTAAGACAGTTTAGCTTGTCTTGGTAAGTACCATAATTATATCTGACAGTAAGATTTGTTAAGACTTGCCTTTTTTATTCCTTTATGCTCCAAGTGGGACATAGAGCTTCAAGGTTGGCCTTCTAAAGTTTCAGTGACAGTGGGATTTTTTACGGGGAGATCTGCTAGCCTCACATCCAAACTTCCCTCTTTACCAGTCTTATTACTGGCCCAATGAGGGTTAGGAGTGTGTCGTGCGGGGATCGAACGCCAAGCCACCGCTGTGGTTGGCGAGCATCCTTCTTCTGTGCCACTAATGCACATCTAATCGGTTAAATAATTTAAAATAAACTGGTGATCAATAAATATGCGAAAACATCTGGCAATAATGAATTCTATGCATAAATAAACAATGCTGAAATTGTTTTCTACTTACCATTTGTGTAACCATAAATGCGTGTTTATAATTATGAAATGGTATACGATTATATCTTCGATAAATATCACTTAGCCATAGATCTAAACGATGATATTGTAATTTATAATGATCAATAAATCCAAGTTCTTTGAACATTTCACGTACTAAACGCATTAATTGTGCATCTGTCCTTGACCAATTATTAAATGTAGACGAGCGTAATTCAAGTAAATCTTCTTGAGAGACAGGTTCTTTACTAAATAGAAAATGAACAGTGATAAGGTGGGATAATTACGACAATGACAAATAAGCACAATTTAAAAAAGAGTAGTTTTAATGAGAAATTGTAAACTGTGAGTGAAGCTTACACAGCCAGCTAAAGCGGTAGGTAAAATGATGAATAATTTTAACTGTAATTAAACTGGTGTCACAGTGATAAGTAAGTAGTGGGTTCTCAAAAGAACCATTGGAAAACCAGGGAGTATTGGACAGCTGTTTCTTCCTACTTTGGGACACTTTATCAGTACATACCCATCGGGTTCGAACCCAGTATGTTCTTCCTACAAGGTGAACTTATAGACCATTCAGGTACTGAGACCTGACGCAATGGGCCATAAATTCCGACTTCTGCCGAGTCTCGATATTTAAAGCAACTTCCAGCCGACGTCAGCCGCGAGTAATTGCTGTCTTACCTGACTTGTAGGACCACCCCGCCCTATGATATTCACTGCAGTTTGTGGTATCATAAGAAGATGCAATCAATGGGCCGTTGAATTGGGTTTCAGTAGTGGATTGGTCTAAAAGCACACCATGTAACCGAAAGGTCCTGGGTTCTAAACCTGTCGGAAGGTGCGTACTGATGATAAGGCTTCAATAGGGAGGGCAAAACAATTGTCCACTACTCCATGCTTGTTTTCCAACGGTTCTCTAAGTGGCGTCAGCTAGTGACCAGTCCTGTAGGTAATCAGATCTCTGTAAACCAACACATGGGAATGTTTTTGAGTAGTCGTTGAAGCATGTTCTTGTTCGAATAGTGTTAGAAAAACAAGCATAGTAAGGTAAGATGGAGTCGTTTTGATTATTTCATGGACACTTATGAATTTATTACTAGCTAGACAACAATAAAACATGTGGGTTATAAAGACTAAATGTACTTTTATCAAGGTAAACAAAAAACATTTTTATCATGTTAATCTCATGATAGACTTCATCACAGACCATTGGTCACAACTCAATGAAAACAGATTTTCTTAACTTTTGATAAATTATGACATGTAGTGTACACATAGTGGAATTTGAGGACAGCCGTTTGCCGATAACATTAAGCAGGAGTCTTGTAAAATAGTAGATGGAAAGGAATTAGAGTTTACGAGTCATGTGGTCGCAGCAAAGCAACTCAGTGATGATACTATAATGCAAGAATACTGGGTTCTATTGCCGGCAAAGGAATCAAAGCGGGAATGAAATAGCTGTCCAGGACCCCTTGATTTCTGAAAGTTTCCTGCATGATGTCGGTATATGAGGGTATCACCCCTTGATCATAAATCGTGAAAACAATAACGGCCATTAAGTGTATGTGTTAGTGGTTCACTGGCAGAATACTCGTCAACCATGCCTCATGTGGTCTGGGGTTCGATTCCCAGCCGATGCAGTTTTAAACCCTGCTTAGCCGGCAGGTAAAGAGGAGAGGTGAGAGATGAGGCTAGAAATCCCATGTCGTAAAAAAATAAACACTACTGATAGTGGAACTTCCGAACTCACGTTTGACGCCCTATTTTGCAGTGAGGAAGCGAAAGACTAAAAAACGAACTATGACAGGAAAACTAACTGTTTTTTTTTCAAAATGCGCAGAGAAAGACATAGTTATCAAGTTAGTGTAGTGAAGCATTTTCCTACAAGCGTTACAATTTTAGAGATGTTGGATTATTTTAAAAACGAAAAGTGACGTAATCAAAACGTTTTGTTCCTAGATTCTTCTAAATACTGAAGTTTTAGTGTTTCAGGTAGAAAAATTTGGAAAATTTTTTTTTACAGAAAAGGATGTTTCAGTTTTCTTGTCATAGTTAAAAATTCTTTTTCACTGTTTGTTTCAATTTGTTCTCTTTTTACTTAGTAATAAATGTATCTCTGTTTTTATGCTCACTGTGATCAGAAATCACTTATAAATAGTCTATTATATTACGCAATAACGCGTGTTTCGGTGGTTCGGCGGTAGAGCGCTCCCCAACCATGCAAGTGGTTCGGGGTTCGATCCCCGGCTGGCGCACACCATTTAACTCACTTAGCCGATTGTACACCCAACAAACAGGGGAGATTGGGCTTGAGGCTAGCAACCCCAACCCCGTAAAGTTCTCACTACTACTGAAACTTCAAAGGTCAGGCTTGAAGCCCTATGTTCCACTTGAGACGAAAAGAAATCAATGAAATTATGCAACACATTGAGGGTAAGCAGGAGATAGTAAGACTGCAGTGAATATTGGTAATGCCATACAACAAATAAACTATTTGCAAAATCCATGTCAGCTAAAATGATAGACACTAGAATGAAGTTGAAGTATGAAAAATAAACTACAAAAAGTATTCTCAGACGATTTCTTCTTCTTTATTCCTTTACATTCCAAGTGGAACATAGGGCTCCAAGCTAGAGGCTTGAAAATTCCGTAGCAGGGGTATTTATTTTTACGGGGTGGAGTTGCTAGCCTCATGCCCAACCCTCCCTCTTTACCAGTCTTGTTACTGGCTTAGCGAGGTAGAGGAGTGAGTCGGTGGCCGGGGATCGAACCCCGAACCACATGAGGCGTGGTTGGCGAGCATTCTACCACTGTCCCACCGAGGCGTCAGACAGTTTCAGTAATTCCCATTCATGCATTTAGAAAAAACAACAGATTGAGCGAAGAAGTAATATGAATTCCTTTTCAATTAGTTCCTAATTATCGGCTGGCTGCCTGTACACTAATATATAGTTTTTGATATCAAAAATGTTTTACCGATCAAATCGTTATTTTAGTTAATCAGTTGTAGGTATATGTGGGAGGGTGAAATAAAGAGACTAAATGCCATCAAGACAATTAACTATTATATGTTAGTAGTTAGATATCTAAGTTTTGAAGGAGGGAGGGATGAAAATTAATTAATCCCGGAATTCAGGATAAGTCGACTCTTAGGCGTTAGCGAGAAGTTATTACATAGTCAAGAAACTTGTAAAACAGCGATAATGACTAAGAAGAATAGGATGACCCAGAAGAATTACGTAAAACACAAGCAAGTTAATAGAATTGTCAACAGATGTAAAAAATAACAAAGTCAAAAGACAGTTACAAGGGGAGGGGAGAAACAAAATCGTTTTTAAAACTTAATACATATTATATAGTCGGGCTTGGCAAAGAAACGGGCTATACAGATTTCTTTTGAATACACAGATTTGGCTTGTTCAGATCAATTCTTTGCCAAGCCCGAGTATATAATATGTATTAAGTTTTAAAAACGATTTTGTTTCTCCGCTTTCCCTGCAACTTTCTTTTGACTTTGTTATTTTTTACACATCTAGCTAATTCTGTTAACTTGCTTGTGTTTTACGTAATTCTTCTGAGTCATCCTATTCTGCTTAGTCATCATCGCTGTTTTACAATTTTCTTGACTATGTAATAACTTGTCGCTAACGCCTAAGAATCAACTTATCTTGAATTCCGTAATTCATTAGTTTTCAATCCTCCCTCCTTCAAAACTTAGATATCTTGTTACTAACATCAATTAGCTAATTGTTTTGATGACATTTAACCTCTTTATTTCACCCTCCCACATATACCTACAACTGATTAACTAAAATAACAACTTGATTGGTAAAACGATTTAGATGTCAAAAACTATATATTAATGTAGAGCCAGCCAGCCGATGATGAGGAACTAATTGAAAAGGAATGCATATCTTCTTCGCTCAATCTGTTGTTTTTTTCTAAATGCATGAATGGGAATTATTGAAACTGTCTGACGCGTTGGTGGCACAGCAGCAGAATGCTCGCCAACCACGCTTCTATATACAGAAAGTGTAAAATCCTCTGAATAATGTCACAGCCACTTGTGTTTCAATGATTTCCACCTTTTAAGGGACATATGGTTTGAGATTGTCGCGAAAACAAGTTAGAAAATTCATACACTTATTTTCCTTTCTGAACTTGAATACAGCAAGTACAGTGATTTGTGCCGGATAAAATGGTACCATCGTTTATTTCATCGACTTCTCGTCGGCTGTGTACAGACTGAAGAAATCTGAAAGCTAATTAATGTATAGAACAATTTTAACATAATTTCAGTTGACAGGAGACACCAAAACTAATAAACAACACTTAGAACTTACACTTATGTAGCTTATACACAGAAATTTCAAGTTTAAACGAAAAATAAATGCTTGGATACAATGTCCGACTTCTCTGTACTGCAGAAGCTCTCGCTATATGCATCGAAAAGCCGGAGCTGTGTGTTCAATAGAGACTAGTCCAGCCTTTACAACTACCGTGGACCTAGTTCGGTATGTTACCTTATCCTACATTTTTAAAATTTTGTTCTCTGTGTGTGTATTTTTCTCTCTTTGTCTTCATTCAATTCATCCCAATTTTTTCCAGTTATAAAATCAGTTATTTTAAGTTTGTTTCCATGCTCCTCCTGATCACACTTGTAATCCGCTGAGAATTACTATTTTACAGTTATACTCTAATCCTGTGTAATTTTTTTGTTTCTTTGCCTCTTGTAATCTATATTCACACCTCCTAACTTACTTTCAATTTGAAAATTTTGGTTTCATTTTGTTTCCCTGCTCATTTTGTTCACAAATGTAATTCGTTCTATCCCTGCGTAATTTTTGTTTCTAAACCTCTTGTAATTCATATCGAGTTGAAAATAATTGTCACCTTTTATTCGTCTTTAAAATTATTTCTCCAGTTATCAAATATTAATTTGCATACGTTGTAACTGTTTTCTAATCTTATGTAATCTTGCCTCTAAGCCCCTTGAATTCTATATTCGTACTTTCAAACTTTCACATCAAGTTGAAAATTATTGTCTCCTTCGTTATTTTGTGCAATTAAATAAATAATAATTGTATCCATGTAAACTAATCTATATAAATGCGATTGTACAGCTGCTTTTGAGAATATCACCGAAAAGATACTTTTGCTGAATTTCTTGTTCTTTACCTTCCAATGTCCCGACGGGTATTTTCAATGATTTGAAAAAATGTCAAAATAGTTACGTAATAAGGAAAAGAGGTGCATAAGATGAAGCTTAACAAACCAGTTGAGTAACAATGTGGTGAGCTGAAGTCAAGTCATAGGGAAAAGAGAAAGGCAAAGTTAAGCTGTGGCGAGGGAGGAAGAGAATAAGGGAAAGATTACGTATTCAAATAAAGAAGACAGTGAAGGAGCATGGTTATCAGGGCAAGAAAAGACTGACAATTGCTACTTTCTGAACACACAAGTCAGGTTTCAGACGTTTGATAGTGATTGCTTTGACAAACTAGAGAAGAAATACACTACTTTTTCTGTCGGTAATAATTAAACGTCTAAAATCAGACTTAAGCGTTCAGAAAGTAGCAATTATCAGTCTTTTCTTGCCTTTGTTGGGTCGGAATCTTTTGATGGCAATGGCTTCTCAGAACCAAAGTAGACACGCTCGTCTTTGTATATTGATTATTTTGAAAGCCTGACTAATTTCCACCGTATGTCCCCTGTCAGTTAGGTCGCTGGTGATGTGCTCGAAAACTCTAGGAGACGCTCCCCTCTCAGTCTTTCGATAAGGTTCTTTCCGATGACTGCAAGTTCTTCTTGAATCATATCTTCTGAACACAATGCCATAGCTCTCCTGAAGGGATTTTTCACAGGGCTCCGTTTGTAGCTGACCGAGCAAAAGCTGTAATAAAACAAATATTCACTAGTCCAGGTTTCTCTCCTGTAGATGGATTTCTCAGTCTTCCCCTCATTTCTTGTTTTTACGTCGATGTCTAGGAAGCGGAACTGATTGTCATATTCATGGTCCATTGTGAATTCTATGTGAGGGTGAGTGGCATTGAGGTTTTCGAAAATCGTGGATGCGTGATCCATACTGTGATGAACCTCTCACTACCCTGGTAACCGTAATTTCTTTGTTCGTGAGCTTTTGTGTTTTGTGCTGTTGCGTAACATCCCACTCAATTTTAAATTTAATTTTCATTTACTGACTTGGAACTAACTACTTTGTTCTCAAATCTGCTAAATTATTTTGACTATCTTATTATTTTACTTCAATATTCATCCCCACCCTCCTGAACTCACCATCATGAGATGTATAAATTCACTGTGTTGTTCTATCTTGTATTTTTGTCTCTAGTCTATCCTTGTTTCCAAGTGAAATGTGAACTCTACCCCCTTGTTTAATTACTGTATACGCAGTTACTCTTTTAACTCTATATTAATTGTCTACTTACATCATCTTTGAAATTATATTGCCTAAGGTTTCTATCTATAACTTGAAGTCTTTATAAAAAGTATGTTCAGGAAAATTCTGAAGCTTATAAATGATTTATTTAGAATGTATGCAGTTGAAGAGAATCCACGCAATAACACGAGCTCGTATTATCCTGTAAATATGTTCGTCCTTTCTTTATTCAAAATATAAAAACTGTTTAAACCAATGAAGTGTCGTAACTCATAGTGCTGAATAGATTATGCCCATTTAACAAGGTGATGGTGAGTCTTGCAGACTAAATATACCAGTATGATACTTCCACATTATCAAGAATAGAAATGTAAAACACGTTGAAATAAAACGTAAGGCGTACAGACCCATACCAACTAAAACATTTATCATGAACTGACATAGGTTAGAGGACCACTGAAAACCTGAGAGTACTGGACAGCTGTTCCGTCAGCCTAGTTCGAAACTCTTCAGTAGTATGTACCCATTGATTAAATCGTGAAACCAGTAAAATCCCTGCAAACCAACACTTGAATAAAACATTTATGCAGTTCAACAAAGATTTTAAAGCGACTAACCATAAACGCCTAAATTCTTGAATATTCCTTCGACTATCTGCATCTGACCGACGTATCAAATGCATTTGTGGATTTGGAGCTGGTGCATTTGATCCAGGGACCAGAACTCTATTCGTAGGAGGTTCAGATGTCAAGCCAAGCCAACTCAAGTATGAAAAGGACTGAAAAAGAAATAAAAGACAATACAAGCAACAACAAAGAATAATAATAACAGCTTTATTCGGGACAGAAATGTCTACACTATGTAGAAAATTCTCGGAATAATTTATTATTATTATTGTATCCTTTAATTCCTACAGGAACATAGGGCTTCAGCCGTGCGTCTCCATTGCGTTCTGTTCTCTGCTAGAGTCTTCACCTGGCTCCATGTCTGCCCACACGTTTCCATCTCCTCTTCACATCACCTCATCCAAGTCAGCCTTGCACTGACGAAAAACTCGCCGCTTCCCATTCATTCGGGTTCCACTCGAGCAATAGCTTGTCTAGTGATGTCACTTGATGGAGTGTTTCCTCAGAGTATGACCAGCCAATCCATCTCCATTTCTTCCTGCCTATTTCTTTCACAATCCGTTCCTGCTGAGTTGGTTCGCTCATTGCCAGAGATCTATGTTGCTGATCTTTTCTGGCCATCTGATCTTGAGTATTGAGCGAAGACAACTGTTAATGAAGGTCTGTAGTTTGCTTGAGATGCTCTTTATGACGCGCAGTGCAAGTCTCTGATCCGTATAGTAGCACTGACTTCACATTGGAATTGAAAATCCGGATCTTATTTTCGATGCTGAGCGTTGTTGACCTCCACACAGACTTGAGAGTAGTGAAAGCTTGTCTTGCTTTCCCGATGCTTGCTTTGATATCCTCGTCAGTTCCGCCTGTAGTTGAAACGATGCTTCCCAGGTAGGTAGTTAAATTAGGTTGTTTCTTTCAGGTTCCTCCCATTTATTCTGATTGTTGTCTGTTGTTGTTGTTGCTGTTGGTGGTGTTGCCCAGGAATTTTCAACACCTCTGTTTTCTCTATGTTCACCTGGAGTCCTATCTGTGATGCTTCTTCTGCCAACTTGTTGCTTTTCGCTGCATGTCTTCCAGTTTGTGGGAAATCAGACATATATCATCGGCGAAGTCAAGATCCTCCAAGGTTTTGTGTGTGTCCATTTTATGCCTGTTTCCTCATTGCCTGCTGTTTGTCGCATTACCCAGTCTACTGCAATCAAGAAAATCATTGGCGATAGTAGGCAGCCTTGTCTTACTCCTCGGCATAATTTACTGCATAATATTTTCTCTTCATTCAGGATTTTGAAGTAAAACTGTGTGATCTATGGTATATCTCGTGACGTAGTACATTTTGGTCTGAAGTAGAAGCACTAATCTCTTATGATATTTTCCCTTCATCTTTAAGAAATGAACACCGGTAGTTTAAAATCCAAACAAAAAGTTCTCATGAGTACGTTTTTTGACTCGAGAAGGTAACGAGGTGTTTAAAATAGTAGGAATTAAAAATATATATATAATGCGTGGAAGATTCTTCTGTGGAACATACTGAATGTCAAAACAAGTGATTCAGTGGAGAGTCTTCTTTCAATGAAAAAAAATTGCAAATGAAAATCTTCTCCATGGTCTCAGAGTTTGGCGATTGTAACGTCAGTGTCAACAAGCTTCATACACATGTCCAGTTTTAAAATCTACTCAGTCAAACAAAAGATCTGATATGGTGATCTGATCAAGATTTCCAATGTTTCAAATCTCACATGCACTGATTCTTGCAATCAGTACCTTCGTGATGTGAGAGCTTTCTGCTAGCCGAAATTGGTAGACAACAATTTACGTCAATGTTTACGTCCAAAATCTTGGTCATGAGAAAAGAACAAGAACAGAGATTAACTAAACAACCAGTAACAGCAGACTTTGCGTGGGCGGATACGATTCGCAGATATATGGTCTGACCTTCAAAGAAACGGCCACAACGAGATGATAGATTAACTTTCAGTGAGAAGACAACCAAGCAGAAGACGCTGTTTCTCTGCCGATAAAGACGAATAACAATGTACATAGAAATCTATAAATATCTGTTGATTTCCTCAATAAACGATCTGTTGCCTAGCCCTTGCCTTCTGTCATTATAATTGGTGTCGCTGCCTCCGAACAGTGAAGATCCCATGGCCCTTGTCTTCTGTCGTTACACCTTAACGCCAAACCAAAGCAGTGCAAATAAGAGCTTGCACAATGAAAATTTACTATTAACTCGTTGTGACAAGGGTGCAGGTGTTGCCATCATGGTTCATAAAGATTCCATTAATAGAATGTCACATCTACTCTCTGATAGCAGTAAGTTCTACAGACCTTATAATTAGGGAAACAAAAAGAAATTAGTCGAAAAGCAACCCACAGAAGCTTTGAAAAGAATGAAGAATAATGACCGGATTCGTGAAGAACCTCATGAAAGGATTAGACAAACACAAAACTGGTCTACCACTTTGCCCCATTCTGCATATGTCCGGATCTCCTTATCATCCAAAAGCTTGGTGATTAGTTGAAATCATAGAACCCCTTCATCCCCTTTGTGGCAGTTTCCAATTTCGCCGTCGAATGTACACAGAATAGAAATGCTTTCAACAAATATATTTCATCTTTGGCTTGCACGTTTCGTGAAGAAGCATAATTATGAGGAAAATTCAACAAGAACTAACGCTTTAGAAGAGAAATGAGGGAAGAAACTTTCTCACTGCATGTCAGACAGTACAACTGGAGTTATCGCAGAATAGTGAAGTTTAGAAAATGTGACAGTCTACTCCTGTTCTTTATAACAGAATAATGACAGCTTTATTTTGCGAAATATGTTTATGCATTTCATACAATTCTCAAAGTATCTTCTTGAGAAACGTTTCCTATTCATACCAGATCTTCAAATAAATTAGAAATGGCAAAAGGCTGTTGCATTATAGTGTGTGAAAACCTAGGCAGTCCAGTGATTTCAACAGGCAGCCATGAAAAACAAATTCAAGTCCTATTAACCACAGAAGGAAACAGAGATGGATTGAATATCCTTGAGTGGAATTTTAATGGTAAGCGATGTTTTAGCAGACTTAGGGTATCATGGAGGATACTATATTAGGAAGAAGTTAAGGCATGTGAGCAGTCGTGTATCCAGATGAAAGTGATGACAGTAAATCGAATGCTACATAGATGAGCCATCAAGGCCCTGCGATACATTCTGGACCCAAAGAATGAATCGTTATTATTACAGCCCCATGTAGACTGATACTGGCATATTTCCCTGTCACTGGGACATATCACATTCAAAGTATGGTGGTTGGCTGAAGGTGATCGGTAGGAAACCCTAACTGACCTAGGTTTCGTGCTTGTTGGCACTCATTGTCATGGCATACACTCAATCTGGAAGGAATTCATATCCCTTCTGACATTCCAACCCGGAGATATTACCACTGTTCTTTTCGGACTCATGACTGATCCACTGTAGGACTATGATGGATATTTTGATTGATCGCTAGGCAGTGACTAGTTTCATGCGTCTAATCCTTCTTAATATATGTGTGGAACTTGTGCACTGTGGTAGTAAGTAATTCCATATTAGTTTGTTTATTAAATGTATCACACAGTGATGAAACAGTATTACTGTTTACTGGATGACACAGTTTCGAACACAATTCATTATTGTTCATAATCATATCTTCAATTGTAATCACACGACTTCGAAACTTCAGTTATGTAGTCTTCTTTGTTTCCTCCTATTTGTCGTAGAGGTAGTAGAATTTTTCAAATATCTGAGACAGGTGTTGAATCATTCCTATTACACGTATGTGCAATTAATTATATAAACAAAACTTCTGTTATCAATCTCCCCCTCAACCTTGCTGGTACATTAGATTTTAAAACTGTCACCTTATCCCATCCGTCTTATTGGCGTGGTTGTGTGTAACTGCATATAGCTAGCTGAACTATTCTCTAGATTTGTTATCTTATTCGGGTCAACTAATCTAGATTTCGCTAGATATTTATACTCGACAAATAGGAGGGAACAAAGAAAACTATAAAACTCAAGTTTCGAAGTCGTGTGATTATAATTGATATGATTACGAACAACAAATTTTGTTCGCAACGTCATCCAATCGTCTAATCCTTCGTCAGTCGCTAGCCTGAATAGCTCAGTTGTTCGAATCTCAGAAGGGACATAAGTTCTTTCAAGGTTGCAGATACGCCTTACTGACTAATGTCAACAAGCATGAAACTTATTTCACGAATTGCTTCCTGCCGATTGCTTCCATTCATTTAATAACAGGAATTCAAAGTGAACTATGATGATGACCCTTCACCTGACATGGTGGCCACACTGCGAACTTCACTGATAGACTTCAATCTGTACCAACACCAATTACTAGATGCGTGACTTGCTAGCGTATAATCAAAACACTTTCCAAGCAAGCGCACTGTTACTATCTTCAAAGCCCTTAGGTTAAAAAACATTTATCGTCTTCAGCAAACCTGTGGAAAGTTTCATTATGAAAACTTGTGACTTTTAACTTTCACCTTATAACTGTAAAACAACTTATTAAAAAAAAACTTATTAGTTGACTGAAAAAGTAAAAATAAAAGCCTGTTACGATTTTCCTTGGAAAAGCATGTCAAAATTCCTAAATTTAAGGCAATAATCCAAACCTATCATCTCTGTTGAATTCATGAGTAAAACTAAAGACTTCTTACTAACTGAGATGAGTAGTAGTGTTTACTAGCCTGCCAGACTGAAGTCATCTAAACACTTAATGGGGTCTGGCTCATTTAGCGCCGGGCTCATGAGTACGGTGTAGCCAGTTTGACTCAGCTAAGAGAGCCGAATCACAGTTCAAATCACCTGATTTCTGGCTACCAACTTGGGTGAAATGGTAACACCTTAGTTCAGATTAGCAATTTGAAAATTTGACTAACAACACTCATCCTAATTCTCATCATATTATATTCACTGATAACACTAATAGTGCTTCCTTTATGTTTCACGCAAGTCTTATCTGATATCAATCCGTGATCAACTCGTAAAAAGCAATAAATTCTGTTCGAAACGTGGTCATCAGTAAATATTACTGTACAACACTGTGTGATTTTATCAAAATAAAATTTTATCCATAATGCAATTATCATTTGATTATGTAACGAAATCAGTACTATCTGAAATAACGACAGTATTACCTACCAAATACTCCTATTTCATTTTCCTAATTTTTAATTATATGGATTTAAGTGTGACTACAACTACAGACAGCACGGATGAGGATGTCAAAACCAGCCAAAATCGGAAAGGTAAAGGAGACCTTCATCACTCTGAAATCGGTCTGGAAATCTTCTACACTCAGCATCAGCATCAAGGATAAAATTCGGATTATCAACATTACTATTAGGTCAGCCATTGCTTCCATACCGGTCAGAAACGTGGCATGCGCGTGACGGAGAGCATTTCCAACAGCCCCTTGCAGACTTTTACCAACAGTTGCCTTCGCTAGTTCTATAATGAAGATCAAACTGACAGACAGAAAGAATGAGCAAAGCCAAACTCTAGGAACAAACCAATCAAGAAAGTATTGTCCAACAAATATTCCTAAGAAGATGCGGATGGATGGGACACACGCTTACGAGACCGTTGGTTGATATAGCGCTCCAGGCTTTCGCTCGAGCGAAACCCGAATGGCAAATGATGATTTCAGCGTTGGTCCTAGGTTGACATGGAGGAGATGAACACCTACGGGGAATCGTTGGGCCAGCTGCAGAGAAGAGGGAAAAATGGTGTGTTATTGAAGCTCTATGTTCTACTCGGGATCCAAGGGAATAATAAATAATGATACACTCTTAGTTAGCAATTGGTAAGCTAAGTAGACAAAACTAGCTACTTGAGTGAAAATTACGCAGTTCGAAGAGGTGGCATTTCATCAGAGTTTCTTTTGGAAACCAAAACAAAACGACAAATAAACAAAATTGAATATAAACTATTCGGACAAAACTTGATCACAGTTCATATGAATTAAAACCACAACATACCTCTATCTGACAACGTAGATTATGCAATTTTCTATATATGGTAATAATTCTTTTCTCCTCATCAATATCATCTCCATTATGATTGATCATATTGTCTTTCATTAAACGATTCATAGAATAACAATTCGAGTGTTGATTAATGTCTTTCTTAATAATCATAAGTTTTCCACCTTCGTAGACTTGATTCACCTCATTCGCTCTTTCTTCGTAGTCGATATCATCATCAACATGAAATGTGTTGATGTCATTATGTGATGGTCGAATAACATCTTCATGATTTGGAGTTAGCGTGTTAAATGCATCCCATAGACGATTATTATTACTATTATTATTATCATTACTGTTATTATTATCATCGCTAACATCAGAATTACTGCTTGTAACCGTTTGACAACACTTTTCTTTAGTGTTATGAATATGATCATATAAATATTTCATGCTGTTGAATAACAGAAATAGTTAAGAACAAGAATAAAAGCAACAACTGGTCAAATAATGATAAATATGTTGATTTACATTAATGATAATAAAAATAAAACAAATGAATAATACATATATCACTCATTTATGCAGTACATAGATATCATATATAATATAAAACGCGTCGTATTCAACGCATGACGATTGCTTGGTGGATTTTAAAGACGATTCCATTACGTCAAATATAAACTTATCATTTTCAGCCAATCAAATTATCGCTCATTGTGGTGATAACTAACAGTATTACAGATAATGACTCATTTGGGTGCCAGAGTATGACACCAGTTAGAAAGCCATTGGAAAACTAAGGAGTTCTGATGAAGAAATAGATGCTTAACGTGGATTTGGGACTCTTCAGCAGCACGAACTCACAGGATGTCCAAAACCAGGAACTTTCGAATACAAGGTGAGGTGGTAGATTATTCAGCCATTGATATATATGTATATATAGGTCAACTGAACCTGTCTTGATGGATCCTGCTAGTCAGTTAAGAGAACAGTTTCCCGTTACAGTTGCGAATTAGCAGAAGTTGGGATTCACTGGCTAGCCATTAGATTGGGTGACAATGGCTGAATGGTCTATGGGCTCGGCTGCTAACCAAAAAGTCCCAGTGTGTGCGTACTGTTGAAGAGTCCCAAAGTGGGACGAAATGGCTATCCAGTACTATCAAAACCAATGTAAGAGTAGAATTTAGACATTATGGTAGAATGTAGTCCTATTTGATATAATACTAACAACTGGATGACATTCCCAGCACTCATAATCATACTGGTGAATTTACATGACCTCCTAGCTTGCTTTATCTTCCCCATATCTTCTAGTAGACCGAGAATACGCACACGAAACCTCCCTTTATGATCAACTGTTTGACTACCGGTGACGTCAACATATAATCTATCCAAGTGACTTTTCAGAAGACTAAATTATGTAATAAAATTGTGCAATGACTGCATCAATTCGACAAGCCAGTTTTTAGGATAAAATCAAACAATATTCAAGTAGATGATAATGAAATCATGGTATCGTTTGATATCAAAGTATTATATACTTCTGTTGTGCGTCGGTGGCACAGCGGTTAGGACGCTCGCTGACCATGCACATGGTCCGGGGTTCGATCCCCGGCCACCGAGGCACTCCTTTACCTCGCTAAGCCAGAAATAATGCTGGTAAAGAGGAAAGGTTGGGCATGAGGCTAGCAACCCCATCCTGTAAAAATTAACATCACTGCTACAGAAACTTCAAGCCACTAGCTTGAAGCCCTTTGTTCCGTTGGAAACGTGAAGGAAAAAAATATACTTCTATCCGACAAAAACTGCTAAGAGAAACTCTGAAATAAATACTATGTAATGATGAACGCACAAAAACACAATGCTCAAACTGGATAAAGCTCATGAAATTATGTCTGACAAAATATTTTCAATTCAATAATGAAGTATACGAAAAGGTAAAAGGACCACTAGTGGGATTACCTCAATCAGGACGAATAGCTGAAGCTGTTATCTAAAGACTAGAACTGATAGCCCTACCTATAATTAAACCAAAATTTGGATAAGTATGTTACATTGATGATAATAATAATAACATCTTTATTCTGGACAGTATTTACAAAACATACAGAATTTTCAGAGGAGGTTATTGCATGATATTTTCCCCTCGCATAATATCTTCAAGTAAAATATGAATTGATTGAGAGTATATCCTTCCTGTGACACAACGGTCTTTCAGCTGAAGCACTAACCATTCCATAATGATATGTCTACTTTGTCTCCTTCAAGAAATTCACAGTATCTGGTTCATAGCCAATTATAAGATGTTCAGAAGTACATTCTGAGACTCAAGAGCATAACTGAAGAACAGTTATCTCATGTATTGGAACACGTTTCCACCCACAATCAGACCTTTCCTCAAGTTTAGAAGGGACTTGCGAAACAAAAGCTTGTAAACATTTTAAATACACACAAGAGCAGGTGATACCATTAGAGGTCATATCTTAATCGATTAAAACAAACCGAATGAGAGAAAAGTATATGCGATAGAGAGATGGAAGTTTCTGATAGGCCAAGTTTCAAGCAGACCGCCAAAAGTACAAGATGATACATTCGTAATAATTAAGAGAATAAACCTACAAATTAATAACCCAATGACTCACAAAAGAAACTTTTGTACAAACTTTATTTAAAAGGAAGTCAGTTGGTGGATGGGGACTAGCAGTGGATCCAAACTGGATTCCACTGCACGAGAACCACTAGAGAATTCATCTACATATTTCTGAAGTAACGGCTAGTAAACTGAAACCATTCGGAAGATTATTATAGTACACAAGCCAACACAATCACTTCATCCAATGCTACTCACTATGAAGATCAAAAGACTAAACACCTAAAGAAGACACAATCGAATACCATCTACAAGCTACGCTGAATAGAGAGTGATAAACACACTACGTCGGTCAAAGTGGGCGTCGCCCTTCGGCATAAATAAACAGTGTACGCTTTCATATTTATGCATGCAGACAATTGTGGGCACTACTGTGACTGAGAAAATATAGAAATTTAAAACTGTGGGAATACAAAAGATGCCAGGGAATTTCTAGAAGCCTGGTAATCACGTGTATCAGACCCATTACTTAGAAGAGATCAAATTTACCACCTAGTAAAGAAAAAGTCCCATGAAAAGAGAAAATTCAAATTTCAAGAGAATAACAAAACTGTTAATAAAGATATAAATTAATGGAGAAGATTTGTAGCTCAGGGGGGATGCTTTTGAATGAATTGTGTTCTCTGACCTGCTAGCTGATTTAATTGAGAAGCTTTCGTCGTCCTTCTGAATGTCATTCGATATTGTGCAAACCGAAAGACCATCCAACAGAAAAAGAAGATAAAATTAATACCAGTTACAAAATAAATTGTATGAACTGTAACAGACATTACATCGATCAAAGTGGGCGTCCCCTTCGAATCAGAATCCAAGAACACAAATTGCCTATAAAAAGGCACGATGTAAATTCTTTTATATTAATGGCTGTAGATAATTATGGACACCAATTTGATGATTGGGATAATGTTGAAATTTTAAATAGGGAAACACCAAAAGTGCCAGAGAATTTCTAGAAGCCTGATACGCAAGTGAATCAGCCAGCGATTAACAAACACATTATTATAGACCAAATTGTCTTCTCGCCTATTTATTCACCTATCAGGTGACTGAAATTATGACCGTACAACACTGAATATTATCAGAGCCACGGTTGTTGTTGTTGCTGCTACTGTTTTCTGCAGTCTGAAAAGTGGTGAATTCGATCAGTACAATGACACAGAAAAATAAGAGAAGAGATTTTGTATTTTCTCTTCTTGGTTGAGAGAAGTATTTCCTCTGACTGCTGTCTTTTATCTGGGCTTATCATGATCTTTTTTCCTCTTATTTACGTTGTAGTTTTGATTGGCTTATCAAAGTGGAATTGATGATCAGTCATAAAATTTTGTTGTGCTCCCACACACACATTAAAACAATGTTACAATGAAATATGTTCCTCATTTTTTTTTCTATTTATTTTTCTATTTTCTCGTTGATCATCTTTCAAACGGATACTTTAATCCCTTAATCTAATGAAGAATTTTTAAAAAAAATAGAGGCAAATAATTTTACATAATAATATGACGAAAACAATAAGAAAGAGAGAAGACTGAAAACTATTCACTTTGAGATCAATAAGAATTAACGATGTGTGTTAATGTGATATCCATCAAAAGAATAAGGATGTTGTTTTAAGATAAAAAAATATGTTTATCTACGTATATATGTATGTGCGTCAGCAATATGAACTGAGAATCTTCCCCAGTTTACTAGCTCGCTAGTTTTCTAGCCGATCCCAAGCCAGGGTAAAGAGGGAGGGTTTTTTTATCATCCCCATTTTCCTGGGAATATTTGTTGGGCAACGGGCTCTTAGTTGCCATATTTCCTTCTCCCTAATCATCTCTGCTCGGTAAGTTTCTGCTCAGTGTGGAACGAAGATTGCTGTTGATAAAAGTTTGCAGCCTTTTCGAAGTTCTTTTTGTGATACGCCAAGTCTCTGAACCATATAGAAGCAGTGACCAACTTGATGCTGATCTTAGAACAATGAAGGACTGTTTCGCCTTTCCGATCATGAATGACTGGCTTCGATATCTTCATGCGTCCCACCTGCCTGTAGTGGAAACGTTGCAGCCTAGATAAATGAAAGAAACGACCTCCTTCACAAATTTCGCCTGTTGACAATGATTTATGCCTGATGTTGTTGCTGTAGGTCGGGTATCTTCATCACCTCTGTCTTTTCAACGTTTACTTGAAGTTTTTCTTCGCTGCCTGCTTCCTCCTCCTCCTCGAAACTGTTGTTTTCCGCCAGTAGATCTTCCAGGTTATTTCTTGGCATTAAATATAAGTCACTCGCGAACTCCAGATCCTCTACAGCCTTCTTGTAGATCTAAGGTATTACTGTCTTCTGGCTGCAGCAACAAATGAAATCACCAGACACAATTGAACCCGGAAATAGATGTCCAACATCATCTATAGCCAAGCATATTATAGAGACGGGTCATAAGGTTGATTTCAACAGTGCCTTTAAGCCGATATATAAAACGAGGTCGGGCCACATACTTAAATTCATTGAAGCCTTAGCCATAAAAAGACTTAAACCTGTCTTATGTGTACAAAAATTATTTGTTATCACCTTAAACCTGCCTTGGTAATACAATTTAGAACCGAGGACTAATTTACTTCCTAATATTTTCAACCCCTTCTTTGCCTTGTTTTCTCTCCTTTTGTCTTTCTTACCCTCACCTTTTGTGTCTCCCTACCCATCATTTGTGACCTTGACCTGTATTGTAATTATTCATGTCTTCTTGCATTATATAAAAACTGTGTATGACAAGTACGTGTGTGATCAGAATACCTGTAGAGTGTTGTGTGGTCCAGTCCATCA